CCCACCACCTCAGCAGCTATTATGTATAGTAGCTGCCCTCTTCCTATGGTGCCTTGCCCCCTCCCCTGTGTGACGTCATGCCAAGATGGTTGCTCCCACCAAAGAATAAACCCCTCTTCCCAGCATGGCCCTGTTCCCGCCTAGAGAATAACCTAATACTCGCTCACCTCCTACCACCTAGTGACATCACCGGCTCCTCCATTCCCTAGTCACTACCTCACTCAACCCCGCCTCAGCCCCTACAAACCCCACCTCAGTCTCTATAAAAGACTCTCCTTGCCCCAGCCATATTGCTTTTTTCTCTCCTTTGTTCAAAGACAGCCCGGCAAATCTATTCCCGTAATAAAGGCTTGTTGTGGCCTGGTCTGGTCTTGGTCTTCGGCCCTTTTACCTGACAGGCATATAATAGTTAGGATTCCAGAAACCCAACAGAAGAACAAAATTCTACAAGCAGTGAGAGAAAAGAAACAAATCACGTACAAAAAAAGCCCATCAGAATCACAGCAGACTTCTCAATGCAAACCCTCAAGTCAAGAAGAGCTTGGAGTGATGTATTGGAAGTCCTAAAGGAAAACAGCCTCCAACTCAGATTGATGTATGCTGCAAAACTATCTTTCAAAATTAATGTAGAAATAAGATACTTTCATGATAAAGAGAACCTTAGGAACTTCATGAATACCAAACCAACACTCCAAAAAAATTTAGACAATATCCTAGGAAAAGACAACAAGTCTCACAGACCCAGGAAGCCCAGCAGAATGAATCTGTTGGATGTGACAAATTAAACACAAAGGGGGAGAATCCAACAAAAAGAATAAGTCATGACTAGGCTTTTAAAACTTTCAACTTCATGTTGTCAAATTTATTTCAAAAAAGATTTTTGTAATATGCTTTCTATAGTCTTTTAAATTCTTTAAAATCTGTGGTAATGTCTCCTAGATCTTAATATTGTAATTTAAAAAATGTATAACTGATACTGTGTAACAGGAAGAAAAGGTCTAAAAGAGCAGGGGAATTGGAAGGGGTAGAGGAAGAGAATAAAGGGAAAGGAAGAAATATGAGAAGAGGAAAAAAATGGAAACAAGGTCTTTGCAAATAGGGAAGGGTGGAAAGGGTGAAGGGATGGCAAGGGAAGGGGAAAAAAAATAAGAACCAAGCTACTCATGTAATGGTACAAGATCCCAATGATGAATGTAACTGTATTTTATGCCTAAAATGTATCAATAAAGTTAATGGGGGAAAAAATCCCTTTCAACTTCATCTTCTTAATGAGGACATAATTCAATCTTGTTATTGTACTGATTAGTATTTTTCTGATTCTGGTGTTGCACACCTTTACTTGTGCTGTACTGACTATTTATCATCTTCTTGTGTCTACGTTCTACTTGTGTTGTGTATTAATGAGCTGTAAGTGTTCTTTATATATTCTAGTCATAGGCTATATACATTGTAAATATGGTGTGTTTACTGACTACTTTTCATTTTAGTGATGTCATTTAAAGTTCTAAATTTTGATGGAATCTCATTTATCATTTTTTTTCCTTTATACATCAGGTTTTTGTATCCTAGCAAGTTCTGGTCTACCCTAAATTCATAAATATTTTCCCTTACAATTCCTTCTTAAAGTTTTATAGTTTTAGTTTTTCATATTTAGCTTCATAGATACTTTCAAATTATTTTTATGTATGGAAATAAACGTTGAGGTTAATTTTTTATATATGGATAACAGGTGATCTAGTGCCACTTGCTGAAAACACTTATCTTTTCCTTGGCTCTTGAATTGAGTTTATATTCTACAAAATGTTAATGTTAAATAATCTTTCAAAACTCACTAGACCATATATTTGTGGTTCTATTTGTAGATTCTCTGTTTTATTCTTATGATCTATATATCTTTCCTTACACCAACACTGTCTTGATTACTGTAGCTTTAGAAGAAGTCTTAAAATTAGGTACTAAGCATTTCCAACACTGTTTTTGTTTCCTTTTACTTTTCACTTTTCTAGGTCCTTTTACTCCTATATAACTTTTAAATTTCAATATCCAATTCTTCACTTATAGCAAGTATACATAAACTTGAATTTTTATATACACCTTGTGTTTTCTAATCCTGCTAAATCCAAATGTAAGTTCTAGGCTCTCCTAGAGATTTCTTAGTATTTTCTCTGTAGATGATCATTTCATCTACATATAAAGATTTTGCATCTACCTTGCCTATCCTATTCTAATTTTGTCATTTTATTGCCAGACTATTTTGGTTTAATCCTATGTTTCCAAGTTTAATGGACAGATGAAGAGTAGGCATATCTGCCCTTTTCCCCACCTTAGAGAGAAAGCATTGTGTCTTCTCCATTCATATAAGGCATTTTTGCTGGAAGTATGGAGTATGTATCTTTGATCTGTTGAGAAGGTTCTCTTCTATTTCTAGTCTCCTGATAGCTTTTACCATGAACAGCTGTAGAATTTAGTGCAATACTTTTTCTAAAACTACAGACAGGATCATATGGCTTTTTCCTTTTCTCTGTTAAGATGATGACTTTTGGGGGTGGATCTTCCAGTGCTGAGCCAACACTGCCATCCCTATGATAAATCCACTTTCTACACACAGCCTGATCTGATTTCTAGTAGTTTGTTTTGTTAAACAAATTTCTATCTCTATTCATATTTTTCTACTATTATCTTTATCCAATTTTAGGATTAGCACAATGTTGATTTCCTAAAATGAGGGGAGAAGTGTTTCTTTTTTTTCTGCTTTAAATGTTTTATATAACTTATCTTTTAAAACATATATGAGCCTGTTGTTGTCATATAGGTAGGTTTTCAAGCTAGGAATATACTTTCTTTAATAGGTGCCATTCAAATATTATATTTCCTCCAGAGTTTAGTTTCATTAATTTGTCTTCCAAGGTACTTCTTAGAAGTTGCCAAACTTATTTCAAAACAGATTTTTGTAATATGTTTTCTATATCCTTTTAAATTCTGTAAAATCTGTGGTAATATCTCCTAGATCTTGATATTGTAATTTTAAAAATGTATAATTGATATTGTATAATAGGAACTAAAGATGTAAAGGAGCAGCGGAATTGTGAGGGGTAGTGGAAAGGAAATAAGGGAAAAGAAAAGTATGAGAAAAGGGAAAAAATGGAAGCAAAGTCTTTGCAAATATGGAAGGGTGGAGGAGCTGAAGGGAGGGCAGGGGAAGGGTAAAAAATAAGAACGAAGATACTCATGTTATGGTACAAGATCTCAATGATGTATGTAACTGTATTTTACACCTAAAATGTACAAATAAACTTAATGGGGTGAAAAAAAGAATAATGTTAAGCTTTGGCATAAATGAAATGCCTATAAAGTTGAGGCAAAGGGAGAATGATTTCTGGAAAAGAAGCCAAGTGTTTGGTGCCAAAAAATAGGAAGTATGGTTTAAAGGCATCCTAGAAATTGGCCAAAGCTTCCCCACTGTAGGCGCAATGGTGGAAAAAGTGAACTCCTTTGAAAGACTTAACCTTGAAAGGAAAATATCAGGATGTACTGCTCACTAGAACAGCACTTCCTAGTAAATTATTTCAACAAGATCAGCCATTCAGGCACTTGGAATCTGCTGAAGCCATCATCCAAATGGCAGCAAGTACAGCTCAAACTGGGAGCAGTTCTTTGTGCCATCCACCTTGCCCTGGATTTCCAGGAGCTCTGAATGGAAGAGGTGTTGAATCACAGGGGCTTCCACCCAGATTTCAGAAGAAGGCTCTGGAGCTCGTGTCTCACCACAGCTTGCCCTTCATCCTGGAAATGCAGCTACATAATTGAGTGATTGCCCTGCTTGGTTTTGGTCTTGTTTGGTTTGATTTTTTGTATCACCCTATTCCCCCATTTGAGAGTAAAAATGGTTTACTCAGTGATGTTATAGATAGGATTTATATATTTTTTTTCACATTTTACAGAGATATTCACAGATAGGATCTGCCTTGAATCTCAGAAGAGACTTATTCTTGGGCTTTTGAAAAATGATGACACCTTTGAGACTCAGGAATAGATGATTTGCATTTCTGGCTGTATATTTAATAGGTAGAATTATAAACTTGTGATTGTCCATTTGGACATTAAATGTAGTTTAAGATATCTCCAGACTTGTGTCTAAGATGTTATTCAGACTTGTGAACATCAGTGGACTAAGAAATACCTCACAGATTAGTAAAGCTCATTCCTGGGAGTGTCCAGGTCCTTCAGGGAGGTGACCTTGGGTAGTATATAAAGTCCCTCATCTATTTTCCTCTCCCACCATTCCACTGTCTGATTTTTATCTCCAGACAATCTCTTCCCACCACCTATATTGAAATGCTGGTTGATTACTTGTCATTATCCATGTCAGGACACACTGATGTGTGCCTTTCAACTGAGCAGGCTAAATATGATCCTAAATGCCCAGCATCCACACTCTTGTTTCTCTTATGTTCTGGTTCAATCCAAGCTGTTGCTATTTCTTGGCCTCCATGATATGAGGAGTTTTCCTCTAATCATTTGATTTGCAACACAGTAGACACTGACTACATGTAGATTTTCATACTTGAAATGTGTACAGTACATTTTAATATATTCCAAAAAGAAACATATACAAGAATGATGAAATAGAATAAAAATAAAATATATGAGCAGAATATTAATTTCACATCCATTATATAGAAATTACAATGTCAATATAAGCATATATAATGTTACATAAGAATACTATGTACACAAATGTTATTTAATTATAATTATACATAATATAACATTAAAACAATGACTTTAATAATATGATTACGATATTTTGAATAAAAATTATTGCAGTATTATAGAGTAACTAACATATTATTTAAAGTAACACTGTGTTTTAATGTGTCACTAAAGACTGTAAGTCACACAGGTGCATTCTATCATGTTTCTATTAGACATCATTCTTCTACAGTGTTCAGTTAAGCAAAATAAAAAGAAGGAAAGGAAGCCAAGTAGGGCCTGCAGGGTCATTTCTTCTTGGAAGACAATATCCCAAACACTCTCTCCAGGGCCCCCAGCACCTCCTTGTTCCTCAGGCTGTAGATAAAGGGGTTCAGCATAGGGGTGAGGATGGTGTAGAAGATGGCCAGGATCTTGTCTTCTGCTGGGGAGCGGAGAATCCTGGGCCGGAGATAATTGTAGACAAAAGGAGCATAGTAAAAGGTCACCACCGTCAAATGTGTGGAACATGTGGTGAAGGCCTTTTTCCTTCCCTCTTTGGAGTGCATGTGGAAGACATCAAAAAGGATCTGTCCATAGGAAGCAGTGATGCCAAGGAAAGGGAGGAGGAGGAACAGACTGGTGCTCACAAAAACCATGTACTCATAGACCCAAGTGTCCACACAGGCCAGGGGCAGCATGGCTGGGACATCACAGAAGAAGTGATTGATGGCCCTGGATCTACAGTAGGGAAGATGAAGGGCATAGACTGTGTGTGCCAGGGAGTTGATGGAGCCCAGTGTCCAAGATGCTGCAATCATCTTTGCACATATCCTTTTGCTCATGTGGTTGGGATAATGGAGGGGGTGGCAGATGGCCACAAATCGGTCATAAGCCATAGAGGCCAGGAGTAGCCCTTCAGAGCCTGCCATAGTCAAGAAGAAGAAACTCTGAACTCCACACCCCAGCAAGGAGATGCTCTTCTGGCCAGAAAAGAAGCTGAAAACCATGTTGGGGACAGTCGTAGAGATGTCCATTAGATCCATGAAAGAAAGCTGGCTGAGGAGAAAATACATAGGTGTGTGAAGCTGGGCATCCAAATGTATGAGGCAAATCATCACTGAATTACCAACCAAGGCAAGAAAGAATACACAGATGATAAGGAACATGAGAGGTAGGCTTGTTTGATTTTCCAAAAACAATCCCAACAAAATGAAATCATTTGAAGTTTCATTCCACATTTCCATGAAAATATACTCCTTTAACTTCCTTGAAAGAAACATAAAAACAAACACAAAATATGGATTAAACAGTACAGGAGAATAAAAAGGAACTAAAGTTTTAAAATTGATTAGAATGAGTAAATTTCCTCCAACAATATGCCTTTTATTAAATGGATTTTAATGTCTGAAATAAATATTCCCATTCAAATTGTCTCTGTAATCATCTCAGCATTCACACATGCATGTAAGCTTTTAAACATAAAATCTGTCACCTTTTGTAGCAAAAATGAATATGATAACAATAACATTTCTATTTAGATAAGTTCTTTTCAGATAAGTTCTGGTAAATATATTAATTGAACCATTAATTGGACCAATCAGGCAATAAAAACAAATAAGAAAATGTAAATAGAAAAGAGATCAACTATTCTTTTTCAGATAACATGAAGTTTTACAAAGAAGACTCAAAAACTACACCAGAAGACTCCTAGAACTAAAAAATAAATAAATAAATTCAGCAAAATGGCAGAATGCACACTCAACACCTGAAATTAAATTGTGTTCTTGTCCAATAACAATGAATCCACCATTGTTGAGTTCTTGATCAAAGAAGCAATTTCACCAATAATACCTTAAAAAATAAAGTATGTAAAATTCAACTTAACTAAGGGGACAAAGGACCTTTGCCATAAAACTTATATAATAGTGAAAAAATTACAGGAGACATAAGAAAATGGAAAGACTTCCCTTTTTATGGATTAACAAGACAAATATTGTTAAAATGTCTTTTTATCCAAATGACCTACAGATTTAGTGTAATTCTTATTGATAGAGCTAGAAAAAAATCCTAAAATTCATATTGAACTAGAAAAGACTCAGAATGGTCAATGAAATTCTGATCAAAATGACCAATGCTGGAGGCATCACAAAACTAGATTTCAAACTATACTGCAAAGTCATAGTAACAAAAATAACATAACATTTGCACAAAAAATTCATTAGACCAATGAAATTAAACAGAAAACACAGAAACTAACCCATTCAGTGCCAGCTGTCTGATTTTTGACAGAAAGGCCAGAAACATACATTGGAGAATAAGTAGCTTCTGTAACAAATGATCTTGAGAAAACACATTCACACACAGAAGGTTGAATCTAGACCCCTATTTCTCATCTGTACTAAACTCAAAAGAAAAAATATGATATACTTAAATATAAAACCAGAAACTGAAATTCCTGCACTGTTGCATAGAGAAAACCCTTGAATCTTAGGCTCCTGCAAAGACTTCCTGAACAGAACTTCAACATCACAGAAAATAATATCAAGATTCAACAAATAAAATTGAATCTAAACAGCAAGCTTCTTCACACCAAAAGCAACAATTAAATACAGTAAAAGACAGGGAAAGGCTCTTTGGAGCTACCTTTTTGAGAGAGGGTCAATATCCAGAATGTATAATGAACTCCATAAAATTAATTTTCAAAAACAAATAACTCAATCAATATATGCTTTAAAGGATTGAATAGACAATTCTCAGAAGAAGAAACACAGGTGGCCAATTAATATATGAAAATATTGAACTTCTGTAACACATAAGAAGATGCAAATTTCAACTACATGGAGAGTACATCTCACCTCAACTTCACGAGTAACATCAAGAATAGAAATTCCATGAATCCTGACAAGAGTTTGGGGATAAAATATTGTTGGTGGGGGGCTGGGGATTTAGCTCAGTCATTCCAGTGCCTGCCTTGCAAGTGCAAGGTCCCAAGTTCGATCCCCAGTACAAAAAAAAAAAAAAAAAAAAAAATAAGATACTTTGTGGGAAGATTAACTAGTGTAATTCCTATGGAAATTGCTGTGAATTCCTCAAAAAACTAAAAATATAAGTAGTGTTTGATACAGCTATACATTTCTGGGTATGTTCTGGAAGGACTGAAATCATCACCCTACAGTGGTGCATGCATAACCATGTGTATCATGGTGTGATTTTCAATAGCTAAGCTGTGTAAACAGACCAGATACAACACTAACAGATGAGAACATGTGGGAAAATGAAATATTATTGGGATATGAAGAAGAATGAAATCATTTTAGTAGGACAATGGATGGAACTGGAGACCATTATGGTACATGTAATAAGCCTGATTGTACTTCTTAGTCCCAGTGGAACATTTTTGTGCTTTATACATATGTGGGCTTCACTCTCAAAGAGATGTTGATGTCACATTCTGTTCAGGACAGTGATTTGGGGAAGCATCTTGGATTACTGATGTTCCATTAACAAAGAACAGCAGCTAATAATTTACAATCATACACTTCTAAGTAATTTAAATCAACTGGTCCTTCACATACCCATGGCGATCATGAATACTGTTGAAAGAGAGATTGTGCAGGAAAGCACATATTCTCTGTAGAGATGGGAAGAACATCTGAGGAAAGAGGAAGGAGTGGAGGAGGAGCAGAGGGATTAAACATAAGACATGATGTGTGCACGTGTGTAAAAACTCTCACCTTATGTGATCACTGTGTGTCATAAGCATGAACTACTAAACATTACACAAAGAACAGAGTGAGTTCAGAGAACTGACAGAACACAGTATTGTTAGACAAGGTGTTGGCTGAGATCTTGGGTATCCTCTGCTCCTTATAACACTTTCGATACCAGCCTCATGACCTAATGTGTAAGGACAAAGCATATGGCCACAATCAGCAGGGTGCAATTCCTTCTTCCTATTCTACTCACTCTCTTCCACTGTGATGTTTCCAAACATCAATACATTTTGGTGATTAAAATAAACAAGATTATGTGATGAGTAGTTAAAATCATGGGTAAAATACATAACAGAACAACAAGCTGTAACATACAGTAGGATGTATGGGCATTCTTACTAGAAAGAACAATAAGGGAGAGATAAAGGCCAGAGAGGCAGTTGGGTAAGAGTTCTGGTACAAGGGACTGGCTTAATCACTTTCCTCCTCACTGGAGAGAATACCCAATACCTTCAGCTAGAAGGAAGAGAGGTTCAATTTGGCTTGAGTTTTAGCTCATTTTCTGCTGCCTCCAAGGCAGGACAGCAGAGCATGGCAGGGGTGTGTGGAAGGAGAAAAAACCCTCCCTTCATGGTATCTGGGAATCAGAGAATCAAGGGAGGAGCCAGGAGAAAAGATACAAACTCCTGGGTCATGTCCACAGTGACCTGAGTCCTCCAACCAAACTGCCTCCTAATTGCAAGCAGGCTACACTTCCCTGTGCTCTGCACTCTTCCCAAGATCCTGTCTCTGACTATTGAGGCTTTCCAAGGGCATCTAGAGGAACTCTAACAGCCCCATGTGGACCCACTCTCTGAGCTAGTCTGGTGATTGAATATTCTGCTCAGAGCGAGCAGCGAGGAGAAAGCCTTTAAGGGAAAGACATGTGGGTTTCTAGGACAGCAGAAACAGGTGATTTATTTTGAAGTGTACGTCTTGGAGTCATTTCTGTGAGAAGAAATGAATGATATTTTGTGCTGAGCATGATGACAAGCCAGTGCCATGCCATGGTCGTAGGTATGTGTCTAGATGACATACTGGGTGCTTGGGTTCTGTGGAGAGCTGGGGAATAGGAGCATGGAATAGAGTAGTCAGCAGAGAGTAGGCATAGCTGGAGACCACTCTGGATCTGAGAAAACAAAGCCTTGTGTCCTGGAGGCCTGGCACATCAGCACAGTTGGCTTCCTATGAGGCATAAGGCAGTGTCTCATGAATCATTCTCTCCATTCCCCTTTGTGCAGTGACTGCTGCATGTAGGCTCTTAGCACATCTACTGATGAAACAAACCAAATATTAGACTTAGAAATATGTAATGGCCCAAGATAACAAGCTGTGGGCAGATGTTTTAAAAATCAGTCTTAAATGTATGTGCCCCTGTGTTCTTATAGAACATAAGAGAATGGGGAGGGATTTGTTTTCTCCCAGGTTTAAATTCTGAGGAAGAAAGGTACCAGCATTTCTTTCAGGGAAAAGTGAAAGTATTGCATTTCCAATAGCAAGTAATGAACACAATGAATGTTTTAAGTTTATATATTCCATGACAGTGTTGCTTTGACAGATTTTTATGATTGCATTTAGATTTTCTGCTCTATATATTTGAGATCAGAGCATTATAAAGATGGTTTTATGGCAATTACTACAACTATTTCTTTTTATATTGAGAATTGTTATTTCAGTGGTCATAGGAGATTGTAGATGCATTCACATTGTTGTATATCTGAGACTGGAAACACTGACGATCTGGAAATAAGTTAAAATGGAGAATCTGTTTCCAAGATCCCTAACAATTTTCTATTTTTGGGTTTGGAACTTTATTTAAGGATCAGAATTATATGAAACCTGACCCTCTTACTAACATTCCATCACAGAGAATAAAATTTCTGTATCTCCATGGTGTCTCTAACATTAGTGTCTTCTGCACATTGTCAAAATATATATGAAGCTAAAAGAAACCTTCATAATATAGGACATGACATATGTAAGTGTAGCAAGTACAGGGTGTGAATTTATTTTAGAAAATTTACAGGTATACACAGATTTAGAAAATATTATACACAATCAACCCAAGACAATAAGCTGAAGTTTTGTCTGAGCTTCAGGTAGTTGAGTCCCAGCAACTTCATAGGAGAGCTGTAGGTGTGAACTAACTGAACTTTCAGTGTTCAGCTCATAGTAGGTCCTCAATACAATTTAATCTCCATTGTCCATTCTAGATTTTAAACATAAGGCCCCAGCTCCCAAGAAATGCATTGTGTTTTGTACAGACACAGTCTTCATGAGGAACACACTGGAATTCTAAGAGGTTCACAGTGTGTCTCTTTACATTATAAGTTTACTAGATTTTCCAGTTTGTTATGAATTCTGTATACTCAAAAGCAGAAGAGGCTGGCTTATGATAGTAAAACTGCATCTCCAAAATATCTCCCTTACCTAGATCTAACAAAATCTACCCAGGTCATTAACATCATTCAGACTCACCTTCTGTGAACTGA